GAGTCCTGCTACTAAGGTTTGAAACCTTGAGAACATGGTTGTTGTACCCCAAAATTTTCCCTCCAATTTTCAAGATAAATTAATTCAATACACCTCCTCATGCTCATGAAGGTCTCAATTGCTCAAGACTTATCAAAGATTGATCAGATTGACTCTCCTCCTAAGAAATTGACCTACAACCAGGGTTTTGATTATCTCAAAGGAAATTGAGTATATAATGCCTAAAATGGACTTCATGGTTTCTCATATGTCTCAAAGTACCCTTATACCAAGTTTCAAGCCTTACATCACAAGTTTACTAAGTTAATTAGTCAGATGATTGAAAATCAGTTGTATTGAACAAAAAGTCAACTCTGACCAATTGGCAGTCAAATTTCAAGATTTTGAAGTCACATTCATCATTTGATGAATGATTAATTATGATTCATCAAGAAAAATCAAGATTCATCAAAAGTCAAAAGTTACTAAATTAGGGTTTTCTTAAGGAGAAGTCAAGTGAACTTTGATGAAGCATAACTTTAACATACTTCATCAAAAATTCCTTAACCAAAGCCCATTTAAAAGGAAATTCAATTATCTACATCTTTGTCTCTCTAAGCTCAAGTCCAAAAATGCTTCATTTGAGAGATATGAGCCAAAATATTACAGGTCATTTTAAAAGTCAACAAAAAGACATTTTTTGTCAAAGCAATTTACATAAAGATGAAGGCTTCAAATGAAAAAATGACCAACATGAAAGTTATAGGAGACATCTTGAGGTTTCCAAAAAAGTCTAAGATCATCTTCATATGACAAAAGTTGAGAGAGTTATATTGGTGCAAATTGAGCAATTTTAAGAAGATGCATGAAGTCCACTTTGAGCAAAGTTGAATTTTTGGGCTAATGGGCCTAAGTTTTTAGGTTCAAATGTATTCATGACCTCATATAAAACCTCTAAATCCATTCATATATTTTTGTGATTTTTATTTCTTTTGATTTTGATTTTATTCAATTAAATTCAAAATAAATCAAATAAAATATAAAACTAATGGATTAAGGAGCAAGGCTTTTGTTTTTGATTAGATTTGAAGCCCAAAAAGCTTGTGAAAACTAAGGAAAACCATGTATGGCATATTTGGAAGGAAAATCTTCTGGAAAGATTTTAAACACACTTTGGAAACAAATCATGCAAGCCTTAATTCTATGAGATTTTGACCTAAATCACTCCTCTATATATACTCAACCCTCAGACCTCACAAGGGCACAGTTTTAAAGCCAATAGCATTAGCGTTTCAAAGAGAAAATTTCTCAAAAAGTGCAAGAATTCAAGTTGCAATTTCCAGCCACTTTCAGTCCAAGCCATCCATTGCAAATCGTTCCTGGAGCATCTAAGGGTAAGAACAGGTCGAAAGTTACGGCCGTTGGTGCTTGAAACAAGCATACTCATCTTCTCCGATCTAATTTTTTTCAAACATTCATATAATTAATTTCATGCATTACTAATGTTTATTAACTGCCCAAATGGGTTCCTGCTGTTATTTAGAAAAAGTTTAAATCATAAAACTGGAGCTCTAACGTGAGAATCGTGTTTTGCCATAGCTAGGGAAAAAAGATTATGTATCATTTGCATCAGTATTTCCAGTCTGTTTCAGGAAAAACTAACGCCACCAATTGATTCACAGGGGTCGATTTAGGGGGGGTAGCCTTAATCGTGGGTGTCAATTTTTCTTACTTCATAGGTTTTCAAAACCTCCTCACTGGAGAAGACAGTTGCAGCCACCGTCCATGGTGGTTTGACTTCTCTAGACGGTGGTCAAAAGCTGTATGACCAATCCCCCTTCATTCATTGGTTCATTCAAAATCATAGGGGCCCACCTGAATGCGCATTTTATTTGACTGAGATTTTAAATTGTTTGTTTATCTTACATGGGTTACTGATTGGATGATTAACGCGAAACACCAGTGTCCCAGTGGTAAAAGTAATGGTTATTATGCGTGACGGCGTGGGTTCGAGCCAGCCCTTGTGCAAATTTTCTTTTATTTTTCAGGGAAAAATACAAGGATAACATATTGAGCGCTAGCTATTCTCAATCACAAACTCAACATATGGTCAAGTGGAAAGCATCACATCCTTTGAGACAGAGGGTGTGGGTTCAAGTCTCATCCCATGCATTTGTTTTTTCCTATTTTACTAACCCTAGCTTTTTCACTCTATTTTTCTAATTATTTTCTAATTAACCACTAACAAACATTAAACCTTAACCAAATTAGGCTTAGGTTTTTTAATTAACTAGAATTAGGGTTTGGATTTTAATTAATTAATTAATTAGACCTTAGGTTTTAATTAAAATTAATTAGTTTTAGGGTTTTAGCCCAATAATTCTTCTTAACTAATTAGACATTAGGGTTTCTAATTAGGGTTATAGGTTTTTTTAATTAATTATTTATTAGGTTTTAATTATCATCCCTAACCCTAAATCATTTTCTAAAAACACAAATACATTTAAACATTTTTTTCTAACATCATATCTTATTACTTTTGCTAGAACTAATGTATAGGTTTGCACAACTGATGTAATAACGTAGATTTATCTTTTCTCACATTTTTCTAATTATGTAACTACTCACAGGATGTAATAGCTTAGGTTTTACTTTCTGCACATTATATTTCATAACTTCTAGCAAAATAAGGTTTGTATGACAATACTAATAAATGGACATAGATATCCCTAAATTTCAAGACTAAATAACTGAAACTAATACACTTTGCACACTTCACCTCTAGGATAACCTCTCTTGTTGTCTTATGAAACATTGGTCATGTCCCTCAAAAGTAGGTGTTGTACCCCAAAAATTTTCCCTTCCATTTTTCATTCAAGATGTTCTCCTAGGGTTTCTCAAACACTCAAAATGGTCATGGGTTTGATCAAACAAATTATCTTCCTAGGCATTGAGTCAACAATTAGGGTTTGGTATTTCTCAAGAAAAATTCAGTTTCCAAGGTTTCAAATGGTCTTCATGGTTCTTCATGTATTCTCAAGAATGCTCGTGCCAAGTTTCAAGCCTCGCATTGCAAGTTTGCCCAGTCGATAATTCAGATGACTGAAAATCAACCGCATTGATCAAAAGTCGACCTTTTCAAGATCGAATTCAAACAATTGTAACTTCTTTATTATTCGATATTTTTTAGTGATTCTTTTTGCGTATGACTCTCCTTAGTGTCATCTCCAACTTCTCTTTACAAGTTAAGAGCCGAGTGTGTGCGAAAGATCATCAGAAATTCGAATACTTTAGAGGTCACTTTCTGGATTTTGACCTAATCTCAAGTAACTATTGCCCGACTTCCAAAAAATCGTAATTTCCTGAATTTTCAAGATCTTGAGACGATTATTTTTTCACATTGTCATAAGGAATGTCATCTACAAACTTCTTTAAAGGTCGGAGTCAAATATTGCTTTGAAGGATATGGAATTTATTGAAAAATTACAGGTCATGTTTTGATGGGATTTTTTCAAAAGCGTCGATTGATTATGTGAATTGAAGTACAAGTGCAAAAGTGCAAGATTATTTGAATTTGAGATTTGAATCAAGGATGGATTAGTTTTACCCAATACCATAAAATCAAATATTCAAGTTTGTCAATTGAAATTGCAAGACCGATTCAAGAAGATTTATGAATTTAGAATTTTGAGCAAAATGCACCCTAATTTCTAGAGGATTATTTCAAGACTGCAAGAACAAAATCCATTGAGATAAATGTCCTTTATTTCTTAAAATTGCAAGGACAAAGTGAAAGATTTTTTTTCTTACTTGCATCACAATTCAAGATCCAAGTAATGAGAATATGATCAAAGTAATGATTATGGATTGAACACCGAAAGGATAAGTAAAATTCAAATGAAAATAGGAAGAGAAAGATATTATTGGAGAATGTATCATTACAAAAGTATTCAAAATTTAAAGAAATTTCCATTGGCATTCATACAAATATCCATTCAAATTTACAAGTTCATCATTCATAAAATTCAAAGAAATATCATTCTAGTTACATTTTTATGGGCAATTTACAAAAACAGATTACAAGTGAAATACAAGTTACAATTGTTTGTTTACAAGGAAAGAAATGTTTCTTCCTCAAGTCTCTTTGCTTCATCTTGAAGAAACTCGTCCACTCCTTGCTAGCCATGGCCTTTTCATCTTTCAACCTCTCTTTGACCCTCCAATCCTCGTGTTCATGAAACAAGAAAAAGAGAGAAAAAATAGCAAACCATCAAAGTTTAAAAAAGGATTCCAAGCAAGAATTAATTGTTAAAGAGGATTTTTTATTTCATCATTAGGGTTTGCATTTGGAATCAGAAATTCAAGAGGGGTTTTTAATAATTGTCTATCTTCTCCTATTTTGTAAATCACAAAATCTTTTTTGGTTCACAAAAGGAAAATAAATTGGCATACATTTTTCACCGCAAAAGCAAAGTCAAATTGCCAAATATACAAGCAACAGCAGGCAGTGGCTGCAAGAAAATACAAACAACAACCCAAAACAAATATACGTAAGGCAGGCCAGCAAGCACAATGCAGCAAAATATACAAACAACAACATTAAAACAACAAACTGCCAAGCACAAAAATAGCGCAACAGCAAAGTTGCCAAACAAGGCAGCATATACAACACAAAAATAGCCAACTGCCAAGCAAAACAAAGCAGCAAATATACAGCAAAGCTGCCAAATAGCAGCACAACTCAAAACAACTCCAAATAGTAACAAGTATAACACAACAACAATTCATGAAAAAACATCTAGCTAGGTATGGCTCACCAAACCCTACGCCTCATCATTTTCCTAATATTGCAAACCCTTCAGAAAATTTCAAAAAAAGAAAAATAGTTTTGCATCATTGAAAGATAAAGAGGAAAAGAGACAGGTTTGAAAAGATATCACATAACCCAAAACCGTCCACAACATGTCAAAATTACCCTACTACAGCCTGCTAGCAATGCTGCAAAATCAGTCCAACACCTGCTATGTTATGCTGCATATAACAGTACAAAACTTGTCAAAAGCCTTGCTGCAAATTAACCTGCATAAACCAGTTCCCAAAGCCAATCCAAAACTTTGTGCCACTGCTGCCCATAAAACTGTCAAAAGCAGGCTGCATTAGCTGCTAAAAAATCGTGTATAAAGCCAGCTAACACTATTAAAACAGCTGCAATAATCAGTCTGAAACTTACACACGAAAAGATAAACAAAAAATGCTTTAGAAAGTGCAGTTTCAACATACCGAAATTGTTTTAAAATTATCAAAATCTTCCCCCCTAAACGTTAGTTGTTGTGACTATAAAATAACAGAGCAATAACTTAGTAAGATATAAATTAACAACAGAGAATTGGACAGGAAAAAACAGAGAAAATTTACCATCTTCAACCTTCATATCACCCATGTCTCAACTTTTAAAACCATCCCAAATTCATCCCTGTTCCCCTCGACATCATTAACACTAACCTCATTGCAGTCTACCATCAACACCACTCAACACCTACAATTTACAATAGCTCATTCTGAAATTGACACAACAGAAACAATTCAACGTCATAGCAACATCTTCCTCACCATTTCGTAACACTGACACAGTTTAACTCAACAACATCACCAGACTCAAAAACATATAGAGAATCACACAGAGATAATTGAACAACAACCACACATACAGAAGGAGAGAGAGAGACATGTTTACCGAAAGTTGCCGACTGTGTAGAAGACTTGAGATCCTCGCCGTAGAACACAATAGCGTTCTTCAGGTAACAAAATTCTATCATTGTGAAAATCACTGATAATGAGATGTAGCCTTTGGTATCTTGAGAGTTTCCCCCAGGATTATGTAGTTGTTTCGTCTTCCCCAACCATTTAATTTCATAATTAGGGTTTTGTGCCGTTGATGATTAGAGGATGAATTTGGTTTCCCTGAATGATTTTAGTTTGCTTTTGATTGTTGAATGAACATGATGAAACATTGAATCCATTCCTACACTTAATTTCATCTATTGATGAGGATACAAAGTTGGATTAAGGGGAGTTGCTAGTCGGCTTCAGACATTCCTGATGAAGCTCTTCTCGTTTCGATATTATAGTTTGAATGCTTGCATTTATTTTGTGATACACAATTGAATTTCGCTTTGAGATTGTGTTTTCATGAGGAAAATGAACAAGGGAGGAGGACAAAGTGTACGGAGCTTCAGTCTTCGAAACCTTTGATTCTTCCAAGTTTTCAAGTTTATCTTTATTGTTATTTACTTAATCATGACATTCAGATGATAATAAATGTAATAATCAAATAGATGTTGGGTGTCATTGGTCATTTGGTTAATTAAAAAAAATCTAGATCCAGGGCGGCTAGTCCAATCGTATGCCTAGACCTAAGATATTTGAACCGTCAGATCTGCTTTGAATCATAACGTAGGCTAATCTAATAGCCACAGTTTAATGATACACTAAGATTACTGTTTGGATTACCCCTAGCGGATCCAACAAATTGCTTTTGATAAATGTAGGATTCAGTTGGACCTATTATTGTTGTTGAACTTTTGTTTTACCAATTCACACCCCAGAACCAAATCTCACACCCCCATGAGACCCGTTAGCTTTTTATTTATTTATTTATTGTTTCTTGACTTATTTTTGTTTATTTGTTGATTATTAGAATGTTTTATATATATATAAGAGCTTAGTTTTATTTTTCCTTTAGATTTTATTTAAATTGATAAAATACCAAAAGATATATACCTTCGATTTAATTTCTTTGTAATCAATTATTTTCTCCTCTAGAATAGGTTTTATTTTTCTCTTCAAAATTTCTCACAAAAATATCAAGAATTTTATTTCCACATTTTTACTTTGTTAATTAATATCATAGATTGTTGTAGGTTTAATTAATTGTTTGATTCTATTTGGTTGTATTGATTGATTATTTAGACTTTTAATCGCATTGCGATTTGATCCATCCCTGTTTGTAAATTTGTATGCCCCATTTCCGAAAGCTCTGTAATAGCATAGAATTTTAATTCCCGCAATTTACTGTTTTTCTTTATACTGTATAGTAATTAGGCGTGCATGGCAAGATTAAAATCAACTTCTAAACAACTCAAATCAAACACACTTTTCACACACGCACATCTAGGGTAACCTCGCTTGTTGCCTCAGAAAAAACAGTCATGTCCCTCGAATATGGGACGCTTTAGCAAAGACCCTTCGATAAAAAAGATCGTAGTCCCTCAATGTCCCTCGATGTTGCCTTCGGTAAACGATCTAGTCCCTTACAAAAATTGCTAAAGTGTCTTACAAGTTGCTTTCTATGACTGTACGACAACCCGTGGTTGTCCCTTCACATCCAATGATAGGGCTTCTTACCAAATCAATGGTAAGATAGCAACATCTAAAGGAGGAGGAAAGAACAAAGACCTTTTGAGTAGGTAATATGCTCGTAGTTGCTTGCTCATAAATTAAAACCATTTCCAAACTTACACATTCAAAACATCTTTCCAAAAACAAACATCTCTTTAAACTATTTTCAAAACCAACACTTTGTATACATTCTTATAGAGAAGAGAATCATTACAAAGTTTTCCGAAAAAAAGGCGTTTTCAAAATATTTTCAAAATTGCACCAAACACATTTCAAACAAAGCATTTTCAAAGTGATCAAGCAAATAAGAGCCCCTAGATAACTACGGATGAAAAGGGTGCTAACACCTTCCCTTTTCATAACCTACCTCCCGAATTCAAGAAAATATCTCAAAAGGTCTTTCCTGTTCTTTTCACCCTTTCCATTATTGGATAAAAGAAAAGTCGGTGGTGACTCTTGCTATCCGTAACAATTGCAATCAAACACAAAACACCCAAGTCAATTCTCCCACCGTATCACAGAACTGGCGACTCTACTGGGGAACATAACTTAAAAGTGGAGTTACCTTAGAGCTAGATCATACTTAATTGCTTTTATTGTTTGATTTGTTTGCTTTACATTTATGGGTCTTCGTTTGGGCTTGTTTTAATCCTCTACCCGGATTTGGGAACATCATTAGGTAAATAGAAAAAATTGTGGAGACTGTATAGTGTAGACCGATATGATTGAGACAATAGCTATGTTAGTGTGACACATTTGTGGATACCGGTATCCCTTTTTGCGAATTAAGGAGAATATGGGGCCACTGTGTGGTGTCATGAAGCACTAACGAACCTTAGAACCTTTAATTGAACAACTTGGCCATTAGGAAGTAGTGAGATAGCCGGCTTTGGTGCAGTCAGAAGTTGGTTGATACTCGATACTACACTCGTTGAGATCTGACTTTTGGGATATTTCAGTCGCTAATAAAGAGGCTTGCACTGAAACAATGCCCAATAAATAAATATCAATGATATTGAGATCCACTAGAACCCGATCACTTTCTAGGACAGGTTGAACCAACTAAACTTGAAGAGGGTACTTACCAATGAAACCTCATGTAAGCTTAAACCTAAGGATTTGTTTTCTTTGCTTGTGTATGTTTACTTGTCCATAGCATCATGACATTACACCATTGCATTTGCACTAACCATTTCAAGGACTTTGGGATTTATCTTTGCGCTGTTTTGTAGGACATGGCTTCCGCACGAAGAAATGCCATACGAATCAACCTTGTGAGAGTGCCTCCTCAACTCAAGGAATTAGCATCAAGGGTTCCCAATAATTCTTCGTTCACCAAGAAGTACGGCCGTCTCATCAAATTGGTAACATTGCGTGATCCACCATCAAATCCCAATGTTACATCACCGAAGTACAATCCTAATGCCAAATGCGCATATCATCCCAACAGCCCTGGGCATGAAACTGATCAATGTTGGGCTCTAAAAAACAAGATTCAAGATCTTATCGACAATAAAACTATTGAGTTTGATCCACCTACAACTCCGAATGATATAACTGCACCAATGTCAAATCATGGCAAAGGTGTCAATGCAATTGAAGCCATTGTTTTTGTTTCCTCCGTTGAAGATTTGACTACTCCATTGACCGTAGTTAAAAAGAATCTACTGAAAGTTGGGGTTTTCCCTGGCTATTTGAAAGACTGTAATTATTATGCCGAACAAGTGAATGGATGCAAATGGCTGGAAGAAGGTGTTCAACGCTTGATAAATAGTCATGAGATCCTGTTTGAAAAAACTCCGACTATCAAAAGTTTGACCGATAAAACTGAAGACATTACCATCATAACAATTTCCAAAAAGCCTCTTAGGATCCCCTTAAAGGGTCCTATTTGGATTTCTAATGAACCAATTATTTCTCCCTTGATAATTACTGCACCTGGGCCGATTCCTTACTCCGCCGACAAGGCAGTTTCTTGGAATTACGGTGTTGAGGTTTACTATCATGGAATTAAGCAAGATTCTTGGATCAAAGAAGACAAGTTTGATGATTTTGCAAATATTTATGGTTCTAGCAGGGTAACAAGAACGGGGAGGATTTTCTCTCCTAACATTTCACCCCAACTACTACGACGACACTTGTCCGCATTACCACTGATAAGCCCAATACTGACACTAGGGGTAAAGAGAAAGTAGTTGAGCCTGCCAGGACGGAGGCACCAACCGAAGATGTTACCACTGAGGAACCTTCCACCCAAGAGATGGAATAAATCTTGAAGATAATAAAAAAGAGTGATTTCAAGATAGTAGAACAATTGGGGAAAACCCTCTCCAAAATCTCTATGCTGTCTTTGTTGCTTTGTTCCGATGCTCATGCCCAAGCTTTAATTAAATTTTTGAACAAAGAGCATGTCCCTCAAGAGACCATAATTGATCAATTTGAAAACTGTGTGGCAAGTTTGACTGCCGACAATAGATTGGGGTTCTCTGATGCTGACTTAACACCAGTTGGAAGGAATCATAACAAGGCCTTGCATGTCTCTATTGAATGCAAAGGAACTACCCTGGCTCATGTCCTGATTGATACCAGTTCCTCTCTAAATGTTCTACCCAAAGGTGCCTTGGACCGACTAGATTGCGAAGGTCTGGTGTTAAAACCAAGTGACATAGTCGTGAGGGCTTTTGATGGGTCCAAAAGGATGGCGCATGAAGAGGTGGATTTCCTTATTCAAGTTGGTTCACAAGTTTTTAATTCTACCTTCTATGTGATGGATATACGTCTGGCCTACTCTTGTTTACTTGGGCGCCCTTGGATACATGGGGTAGGGGCAGTGACATCCACCCTTCACCAAAAGTTGAAGTACCCAGTCAAGGGGAAGGTCGTCACAGTCTGTGGTGAAGAGGAATTCATGGTAAGCCACCTTAATTCCTTCAGATATGTGGAAATGGATGGTGAGTTCATAGAAACTCCGTGCCAGGCTTTTGAAGTTGTTCCTCCTATGGTTTCCGCCACCAAAATCTCCTCCGACATATCAAAAGCTGATAAAGTTGTACCAAGAATGGTTTCACTTAAAGATGCATGTGTCGTGGTCGAAGACAGAAACAGTACAATTTGGGGACAACTCCCTGATATTCCATTCAAAGCAGACAAGTTTAGGCTGAGTTTCACTACCAAAGTTCAAAAAGAGGTTAAACGTGTTCGCATAGGAAGACCACCCCTTCACTTTGGTGATCATGAGGTGAATGATATTGAAGACTCTAGGGATAACTGCGACCTTGATGAATGGATTTACCCGACTACCAGTGGAGGACTCAATAACTGGCATGCAAAAGATTTCATTACCACCTCCTTCAATAAGGAGTAATTACCTTTAACTGTTTTGTCAATTCAAGAACTTTCATCTGTAACTTTAATTCCA